TGTCTTTGAATTTTGACTTTTAAAGTGATTTTATTCATTTTTAGTTTAGTCGAACTGATGATGGAGCTGGACTCCGAAACGTTTTCAATATCGATATGGTGAATTTTCTTGGCGTTTTCTTTGCTTTTAAATTCCTTGTGAACTTGCGATATAAGCAGACTAATGATATAAGTACTTAGAAGAGTTCTACTACAATGCACCAAAACCTGGAGTTATTTGGAGTTATTTTACCTAAAAAATATACCTTATTGATTTTACCACCCAGTCTAAGATACCCCAAGAGCTGGGGTAACAAGACCATCACTTTTTTTTTTAAATTACATAAGGACTATGAGAGGCAGGAGCCAGCAATTTATGGTGAGTGAAGCTAGAGTAGGTAGACGTAGACCTGTATTTTGCACGTTTCAATTTAAATTTTAAGTTTAACTTATCTAGTGAAAAAATTGCATCATTTTGAAAAAAAGTGGTCAAAGTTACCCCATTTTACGGATCCTCAATATAAATTAAAGACTGCCACTCAATATATTTAAATCTATGAAAAAATCAAATAAATAAAAAAATGATTTTTTATAAAAAAATCAAGTGATTTAATCACATGATTTAATCATTGCCAACACTGCTGTTAGGGGCCCTTAGCGCATATCCTTGGGTGCTCAAATGTAGCTCTCACAGACATCGGAACTGTGCGGCATGCGCTGCAGCACTAGTGACGCATTAGCATGAGCTAAACTGCATGTGAATTAGGAAATACTGTTTCAACTGCTAATTCTAGGGCAAAATTTGAGCTTATTTGTGATATGCACATGCTGCGGACTTGTGGCTTTGATTATTTTAGTCTGCACCTCCAGTCAGTCCAGTGGGAACGGTCCTCCACTCCTCCTCCAAGCAAGTTTCTTGAGGTTAATCCACCTTCACTTCAGTATGGTTTGCGTGTTATGTTATTTCTGTACAGGGAATGCAGATGGAAATGAAGGTGGTGGTGTGGTGGACTGGTGGTTGTGAGGCCGGGACGCGGGTCCGGGTTGTAGGTGACTTGCGCCTTGCGGGTTGTACGTGATTAAGGTAAATAAGTTGCACGTTGACCGCTTGTAACAACTGGACTCAGCACTAGACACTAGTTATTAAGTTCAAGTCTTCATCATGTTTCTTTCAA